ATGTAGAAAGGAGCGAAGGCATGTAGAAAGGAGCGAAGGCATGTAGAAAGGAGCGAAGGCATGTAGAAAGGAGCGAAGGCATGTAGAAAGGAGCGAAGAAAGAGCGAAGGCATGTAAAAAGGAGCGAAGAAAGAGCGAAGGCGTGTAGAAATGAGCGAAGAAAGAGTGAAGGCATGTAGAAATGAGCGAAGAAAGAGTGAAGGCGTGTAGAAATGAGCAAAGAAAGAGTGAAGGCATGTAGAAAGGAGCGAAGGCATGTAGAAAGGAGCGAAGGCATGTAGAAAGGAGCGAAGGCGTGTAGAAATGAGCGAAGGCATGTAGAAATGAGCGAAGGCATGTAGAAAGGAACGAAGAAAGAGCGAAGGCGTGTAGAAAGGAGTGAAGGCATGTAGAAAGGAGCGAAGGCGTGTAGAAAGGAGTGAAGGCATGTAGAAAGGAGCGCAGGCGTGTGGAAAGGAGTGAAGGCGTGTAGAAAGGAGCGAAGGCATGTAGAAAGGAGTGAAGGCATGTAGAAAGGAACGAAGGAATGTAGAAAGGAGCGAAGGCATGTAGAAATGAAGGCGTGTAGAAAGGAGTGAAGGCGTGTAGAAAGGAGCGAAGGCGTGTAGAAAGGAGCGAAGGCATGTAGAAAGGAGCGAAGGCATGTAGAAAGGAGCGAAGGCATGTAGAAAGGAGCGAAGAAAGAGCGAAGGCGTGTAGAAAGGAGCGAAGGCGTGTAGAAAGGAGCGAAGGCGTGTAGAAAGGAGCGAAGGCATGTAGAAAGGAGCGAAGAAAGAGCGAAGGCGTGTAGAAATGAGCGAAGGTATGTAGAAATGAGCGAAGGCATGTAGAAAGGAGCGAAGGCATGTAGAAAGGAGCGAAGGCATGTAGAAAGGAACGAAGAAAGAGCGAAGGCGTGTAGAAATGAGCGAAGGCATGTAGAAATGAGCGAAGGCATGTAGAAAAGAACGAAGAAAGAGTGAAGGCGTGTAGAAAGGAGTGAAGGCATGCTGTTCGCGGAGTGAATTCATCACCCGACGGATGGATGAAACGACGTGAATGTAATAAGTAAAAAC